CTTTGAACTTTGACATTTTCACTTTTAACTATCTATGGATGTGTATAATTTTTTTCTGTTTGGCTCTTAATATTTATTTTCAATCTAAAAACTCAAATATATGTTGTTGTTTTTTAATTCTGTGATATGCTCATGCATTCTTTTCCCTTCAAATGTTGTTTTGATACTGCAATCTAAATTGTTGTAAACAGAAGAAACGATGGCAAGCCATTAACTTGCTGAGTTTGGACAAGCCTTCAAGGGAGACCGACCCCTAGAGAAGGACATCCCATTCTGTCAAGCTAAAGGCCAGCAAAAAGAGAAAGAGTTAAAGCACGTAGTGATGGTTGTGCATAGGAGTTAGGATCGGACAATTACATTGCATAAGAATCTGTAACTTGGAGCTGACTCAACAGAAATAATATTAGCTAACAATAGCTCATAGCTATACATATATATTTTTTTCTTTTTAAACATCTAAGCTTTTTTCCTTAAATTTATAAATAAAATTTTGCAAATTGATTAATAAAATTTTGTAAAATGTTTATTTGACTAATTGTCTCTGTTCCTATTCTAGGAAATGTAAACCACTTAAATTTATAGATAGAATTTTGAAAAATTGATTAAAATAATTTTGTATAATATTTAATTTGCTAAATTTCTCTGTGCCTATGCTATAAAATGAAAAACCAAACTCAAAGTCTTTGAGTCAAATCTAATAGAAACTCCATAGACAAGAGTGTAACTTATTCAATGAGTTTCTGAGAGAGGGAAAAATGGCCTCATCTTTCTGCTGAAGGGCTGTAATAATTGACCTTAGCCAGTGATGCTTGACCTATTGAGCCACAACAGCTCCTTGTCTAGGTCTTCAGGTAAATTTGTTTATTGTCTGTGAATGCATATGCACATATGTGTATATAAATATATATCCTTTTCAAAATAAAACTGGTGATTATACATATGAATCTTAAAAGAGGAAATATACCGAAACCAAACTTGCTACCATTTAGGTTCATTCTGACTCATAGAGACTCTACAGGAGAGGGTAGAACTGCCTCTGTGACTTCAAGACTGTAAAGAGGTGGAAAGTTTGTCTTTCTCCCCGAGATGTTCCAAACTGCTGGCCTTGCAGTTAGCAGGCCAACAAGTAGCCAATGTGCCAAACGAGATATATTGGGATGTACAGGAATCCCCTTGACAACATCTGTGAGAAGAAAACAGGGAGAATCCCAATTTGATCAACAAAAACAAGACCATAAGCCGACTGTGAAAGACACCATCAATTGCTCATTAGGTAAAATTAGGTTAGAGATGAACAAAATTAAAATAAGTCCACAGGAACAAAATATGGCAGTGAATGAATCCTAACTGAATTCCGAGTGTCGCAGAAAAGTGGATTTGAAGCATTCAACAAAAATGACTGAAGACCAGATGAGTTGTGGAATGACATTAAGAACATAAAGGAAGCAAAACGTCACTAAGAGAGAGGGAGAAAAAATGCTGCAGAAAATATGAGAAGGCAGATATGCTGAAACTTGCCTTTGGATGTAGAGTACCTAACGGAGATGGAAGAAAGAAAGTCAAGGGTGTAATATTCTTTGAACAATTTATTCAGTCATTACTCTGTGAAAATCTGAGTTGAGCTATATAAAGGAGGATATTGAAGGACGGATAATTGACAACCTGGGATATACAGATGACACAAACTTTCTTGCTTGAAGCAAAGACACCTTGAATCACTTACTGATGAGGATCAAAAACTATAGCCATCAGTAGTAATTGAAACTCCATATAGGGGATAAAAAAATCATCACAAATGGAGCAGTAGGCAATCTCAGGATATATAGAAAGAAAACTGAAGACGTCATTTATTTTATTTTATCTGTATTAACAATCAATGTTCATGGAAGCAGCAGCCAGGAAATCGAAGGATGCATTTCATGGGGCAAAGACCTCTGTAAGCTCTTGACGAACAAAGATAGGACTTTGAGGACTAAAGCACACCTGAATTAAACCATAGTGTTTTCAATGGCCTCATATTCGTGTGAAGGCTACACTGTGAATAAAGTAGATGAGAGGGGAAGAGGTTCATTGGAATGATTGTATTGACAAGGAATATTAAAAGTACTATGGACTTCTAGGTCAATAAACAAATCAGCATTGCTTAAAGTACAATTCAACTGCTCCTTAAAAGCAAAAACGGACAGGCTTTGTTTACACTCAAAGTGACCTATGTACAACAGAGCAAACGCTGCTGGACCCTGCACAGTTCTCATGATTGCTCAGGGGGATGAGCCTCTTGTTGCTGTCCATCCAGCTTGTCAAGGGCCTTCCGCTTTTTCACTACTTCTCCCCCAAACATGATGGCCTTTCCCAGGGTCAGGTATTTCCTGATAACATATCCAAAGTACTTTAGAAAAAGTCTCACCATACTTGCCCCTTAGCGACAAATTGTCCAAGACAGATTTGTTTGTGCTTTTAGCACACCATGGTGCTTTCAATATTGGCTTCATCAGCAAAAACTTCAAGTCTTCCACATTTTCAGCAAGCAAGTTGTATCATCTTGGGTATCAGATTTACCCAACGCAATGTATCACTTGATGTCTTAAATGCTGCTTCCTTGAGCATTGAATACGGCTCCAAGTTTGATGACATTCTTGAGAGTAGCGTCTTTTCTCTGTTTATCATGATGTTGCCTATTGGCCAGTTTGGAATAGTTCTGCTTTCTTTACATAGAGTAATCTACATTGAAGACTGCAATGTTTGGCTTCATCAGCAAATACTTCAAGTCCTCCACCTTTTCAGCAAGCAAGTTGTATCATCTATATATCAAAGATTCTTAATAAGTCCTTTCCCTGAGGTCAAGTACATTTTCATATATACCAGATTCTATGATTAGTTGTTCAGCATACAGATTGAACATGTATGTTGAATGGTTACATCCATAGTGCACATATTTCCAGAATTTAAACCGTGCAGTATGCCCTTGTTTTTTCCCCCAGCTGCCTCTTCATCCATGTACAAGTTCACCATGATCACAATCAAGTGATCTTGAATTCCCATTATTCCCAATGTTACCCACAGTTCGTTATGATCCACACAATCTAATGCCTGGTCAGAGGCAATAAAACACAAGCGGACATCATTCTGGCATTTTCTGCTTGCACACAATATCCATCTAACATCATCATTGATAGATAACTTTCATTCCACATCATCTTCTGAATCCAGTCTGAACCTCTGGAAGTTCCCTGTCCATGTAAGACTGTAACTTCTGTTGGATGATCTCTGGAAAAGTTTCATGTGCATGTGATAGCAATGATAGTGTTCTATGATTTGTACAGCAATGGATCTGTCCCAGTCAGATGGCCAAGTTTAGTTTGGTTTTGGTAAATAGAGGTTTGGAGCAAAAGAACAAAGCGCTAAAAGGTGTGAACTGACAGCGACTTCAACAATGGGCTCAAATGTGACAACTATTATAAGGATGGCTCAGGACCAGTTAGTGTTTTGTTCTCATATACATAGGGTTGCTATAAGTTGAAACCAATTTCATGGCCTCTAACAAGAATAACACCAACAACATCATTCGTTTGAGTATTTATATGTATGATTAAAAAAATATTTAAAATAGCATATGGTCGTAATAAACTCTATTAAACTTTATGTAGTTTGAAGGTTCTGCATAAAATCTGAATTACCAACCTGATTATTATCCTATCACTGCATCAAATATTTGAAAAATAAACTTGAATTGAATTCCCGAAGCCCCTATGTGCACATACATAGGGAAGTAAGTGACCAAGTATCACTGAAATTATAGGTAACTTAAACAAAACTACCACAATATGAAGCTATTGCTTCTTAACATAGCCTCCATCTAGGTCCATCCTATGCTGAAGGCAGGGCTTCCACCTCTCTGACCTTTCCTGGAGTTCTGTGCCTCTCCATTATTCCATATCACTCCATAACACAACAGAATAATGGTTTTGGCACCCTCAAGTTACTCAACTCATGTCCCGTTCCACCACCTTTGAGTCCCTTCTACCCCATGGCAATATGAGTGAGCACTGACTCAATGGGGATGACTGTCAGAGCAGTGTGTTAGTGCTGTACAGTTGTTCCATAGGGTTTCAACATAGATCTTCACAGCAACAGACAAGCTCGTCTGTTTCCCATTATCAGCTGGCAGGTTTGAACTGCCCACCTTGCAGTTAGCATAGCAGTTCTTAAGCCACTGTGTAGCCAAGGATCCTTGCATAAATATATATGTATGTAAACACATATGATGCTGCTGCTGTTAGGTGCAGGAGAGTTGGTTATGACTCATAGTGACCCTACGTACAACAGAAAAAAACACTGCTCAGTCTGGTGCTGTCCTCAAAGTTGCTCTTATGTTATGTAATGCATAATGATAAATATATAGAACGACCTAACATGGGAGGAAAAATAAAACTTTATGAATTCATAACACACAGTACAGATGGTAAAACAAATGATTCAAAGATTCCCATGATACTCTAAAATTATGCATATGCATCTATCTATATTTGGGAAATGCAATAACAAAAGAAAATATAATTTGTGCAGCATATCTTGATAATGCTGTAAACGGAAGCTGGTTTCAAACACTTTATTTCCTCTCCTAACTGTGCCCAGGACATGTTTTAATTTTTCTTAATTCAAAAATTTTCACCTCCTAGCAGTTGCATCAGCTTTCATCAACATGCTTGTCAGCAAAGATTCCTCTTAACATTTGCCCAAGAGCATATTACATGGACATTTCTTGTTTAAAGGGATGCTTCTGAATAAATTCAATGAAAGTTATTTGTACATATGGCTCAATTTTAAATACAAGCTATTCACAGATCATAAGACATTAACATCAAACTGATTTTGAATGCTTACTTGCAACCTGTTCATGAGTATATGAGACTAAATGAAAAATTGCTCAAGCCTATTTTATATATCAAATCAAAGAAGAAGCCATATCAAGAAGATAATATGTGTGTATATATGTTCACCTTCATTGTCCTTCAGAGTGAAGTTGGGGTTTATAGACAGGCGTTCATCAAGAAAAAAAGTAAACCTTGGTCCATTGGCAAGATCATCTCTATCTGTGGCACTAATGGTGTGAATGACCTAAAATTTAAAAAAAAAGAACATTAAATAGTAAGTTCAAGTTGGTTTTAATTATATTGGCTTATTTCCAATAGCTAAAAGAGAAGCATTGACATAGAAGTATAGCCTTTGTGTCCACGGGGAGTGATTGCAAAATCCACTCATAGAAATAATGGTTAACTTACTCTCTTGCATTCGATTTGAGGAAGATATATTATGGCATGATTTATAATCATTCACAGTTTATTTTCTAGGATGGCACAAACATCTTTTTATGTATCCTTTATCACCCGCAGTACCTTGGGGCCAATTAGTTTTAAGAACACCTGTTTGGGGAGACATGAAGTATCGCTTGCAGAAATATAAATATCCCAGTGTTGATGTTGAACAGCCTTGTCGTGCATGTTGGTCTCAGCTAGAAAATGCCAGAGTAGTGGAGTCTTCCCCGTGTGACAGTTCCAAGGGACCTCTGAGAGTGGGCCTCAGTCACTGCAGTTTGCAGAAGAATCAGAAGCCCAGAAGTACTGTGATATACTCCCAATCAAAAACGGGGTAGAAGTGAGACCAAGCCGTTCCCACTGTATTTGATAACATCTTTAGTGGCTGAGAGTGATTTTGAAATCTGGGTTATAGTAACAATCAGGAACACATAATTTAGGCTATTCAAATGTCAGGTGGCCAAGAGATAAACACTAATCACATCAGTTAATTTCATTAATTTGAGGTCAACAATCAATGTTCATTGAAGCAATAGTTAAAACAACATATTGCAATGAGCAATTCTGCTACAAAAGACTTTGGTTAAAGGGCTAGCTATCAAAGATGTGACTCTTAGGAATAAAATGGGCAATCTATAGTGTTTTCAATAGAGTCACATGCATTGAAACCTGGACAATAAGAAAGAAGACCAAATGATTAGATGACAGAAACCAAGACTCCATGGTGTCAGTATAGCTGGTAAATGCAAGTATTTTTCTATAAGAAAACACCTATTTCTTCTCTGTTTCTAATTTTCCATAAAAACATTTTGGCTAGCAATTTACTTTCAATGGAAAGTACATGTCGACTACCTGTTTTTCAAAATAACAAATATACACCTGCTCAAAAAGCTTGTCTTCACAACCTTCCCATTCTCTGTGGCTTAAACATGTGTCAATAAAGATGAATTACTTTGGCATAGCCATTTATTAACAAAACATCAAACAAAAAAGCCCCCCACATAACCTTGAGGGCTCTGTTGGGTAAGCTTTGGATTGATAACCACAAGGTCAGTGGTTAAAAACCACCCACTGCGAAAACAAGAGGAAGATTGGCTATCTGCTCCCGTAAAGAGTTACAGCTCGTGGTATAGTGGGTCATGTGCTGGACTGCTAACCAAAAGGTCAGTGAGTGAGTTAGTTTATTGTGCCAACCTGGCCGATAAATACATGTGGGGTTAATTGAAGGGTGGAGGGATAAGTGGCTCAATGAGCCTTGCCTCTCTAGTTCTCAGTCTCTTGCTTTGTGATGGTTGCACCAGGGTGCAGCTGCCTTAGCAGTTCCCTGCTTCAGCTTGCAAGGCTGACTTCCTGCAAGACATCCCCAAGGAGAAGCCATATGGACCTACTCCGATGCAGCCCTGGGTACTGGAGCACCCATGTGGAGACCCCTGCTAGTGCTGAGATGTTTACACATTCCCTGACTTGGCTTTCCTCCTGCCTTCAGCATCGTTGTGTCTGTTTTGTGAGATGGAGGAGGACTTTGTGGACTGGTGTTGGACATATGGGTTAATGGGTTAATGTTGGCCTTGTGGGCCTGGGCAGCACTGGGTTGGGATGTTTTCTTGATGCACACTTAACTTTATATAAAACTCTCTCTTATACATGAGTTTCTGTGTATTTGTTTCTCTAAAGTACCCAGACTAATACACAATGTGACTTGGCTTCTGCTTACATTAGTATTGATTGTGGATTAAAGCAAAACAAAATCCTTAACAATTTCA